AAAAAAAAAAAACACAAATATATCTTTTTTTTTTTTTTTCCTGCGAACTTTACCAGAAAAAAAAAGGGACGAGTGTATGAATTTTTACTCCATTTTTACCCCCCTTTCTTCTTGTCTATATTTTATTATTTAAATTGAACCTGAGCCAGATGAAATATATTATTTAAGGTGTCCATCTGTACATAATTGTAGCATTTAGTTCCTTTTAATGCTTTTTATTTATGAGCCTATATTTTGCTTGGTGATTTAAATAAGTATTAAAGAAAACAAAAATGACAAAAAATTCAAAAACATAAAAAGTAGAAGAAAAAAAAAAGGAAACAAAGAAAGTCTTAAAAATTTGTATGGGATAGCATGCAAATAACTATTTAAATAAGTACATAATGTCGATGAGTTGAAATCCTAATGCACTATATAAAAGGAATCAATGGGATACTTACATTGTTGTTTTATAGAGATTTAAATAAATTATCTATGCTCTTACAATGTTCGGTAATAAACATACATTCTAGGATGCCCTCATAGGGGTGATATAGTAATATATAAAATGAAATATTGGGCTGCTTTTTTTTTTCTTCCTCCTATGCACCGGTCTTATTTATTTAATTTTACCCTTGGGAAACAAATGTTATTTAAATTCTTATGCTATTGCGAAATCATTTCTGCTAAAAAAAAAATAAAATAAAAAAATTAGAATAAAAGTCAATTTGCAAATAAATTGCTAAAAAAAATGTTTTATGTGAAGTAAAACCACCGCAAAGTTAATGAACAAAATCAATTCACTGGAGTTGCGTGTTTTTAGACACTGTTTTTTTTAGGATTTTCTGCTGGATAATTGAGCCATGAATCGTGCATTTAGAGACCTAAAGTTGTGATGACCTCAAATTTTTTTTTTTTTTTTTTTATATGTCGCATCTTACAAAAAAATTATCAATTTAGTCCAATCCAGATTTTTTTTTTGTATGAATTGCTCTGCAACCAGATATTACTGTGGAAATGTACGACATAAAAGACAATAAACATATAAGAAAAGTCCTGAAAACATATTCTGATTTTCCTCTGATTTTTTATTTTTTTTATGAATGTTTTAATTGTGTGGGACTGCAGTAGAAAAAAAACTTTTCTTGCATCTCGTCTGCTTCCAGACTTAAATAAACCTGTTTCAATCCACTGAATTTTAATGGGATTTAAATGTATTTTATTTTGTAGCAACTTAAAGAGTTTTGCAGCGCTCTAAGACAATGTGTGGGAGTGAGTGCTTGAGAGATCGTGAGGGGGACTATTGTTTTAAGGACATTTCTTTCATTTGTTTGCAGATTAAAAATGATTTTTAAATTATAATTTTTTGTAACCAATTCATACTTATTATAGGAGTGTAGTAGGTGGGTGGGGTGAGGGGACAGAGACGCATAGACACACTTGGTCAAACTTTTAATGAATCAAATGGTTTTCCTACTAATATCTATAATAGGTATTAATTTTTAGGTATTATATTATATTAGGTATTCATTTTTACTGTCAACTGCTTCTTTTTTTTTTTTTTCCTCCTCGCAAGGATTTGCTTCATTTTGCTAATTGTTTTCAGCGTCTGCAATACAAATAACGAGCTGAACCTGATTTCATTGGCTCTCCGGGCATCAAAAACAAGCTGCTTGATATGTGTTCCGTATTGAAGTTGACATTTTCTTCAGCTGTCCTCTTTAATGTTCATCATTTATTATGTTGGGTTTTATTTTAACTTAAATAACTCCTTTTTTAATAATTCTGTCTGACTTCATACAGATGACTGTAGCTGAATGCAAAGCCCTTCTCCATTAATGTAGCCCTCATGGTTGGAAACTTAGTTGCAATACGTTCCCGCAGTAGACTAGCGATCGGGTCCCGGGGTGTATAGAACATGTTTTTCGGAGGTTGGTGTGGACGGAATCATCATATTTTCATCTTATTCTGGGAATTCAGAACATTTCTTGCTCTTCAGTTTTCTGAATATCTTAGAAATGTTACCTACAGAATATCTGAGCTCTGCTCTCCCTGAGATCAGTTTGCAACATTGTAACATTGTTTGCAAACATTGTAACTTGTTTATCCATGAAGCCCAATGATTGGTGATTGATTATCAATGATCTAAAATTGTTTATTTTTAATATATACTGTATATATTTCATGGCTAGTGAAAATTGAGGCAATTTTAGGCTTTTGAATGCAGTTCCCTAATTTGAGGGCCGCCATTGATCACATTGGTGATGTTGGGAAAGTTACGGTGGAGCGCCGTGCATTGGGTGGATGCATGGTCCTTCCAGGAGAGGCTCCGTCGACTTTCCCGATGTTTCATAAAACTCGGCGATCTTGCGGAATTTTTTAGGGAGGAAAAGAAAATGTGCGGAGCTTGTAAAAAAAAAAAAGAAAGGAGGACAGGCTGGCGGGTCTCTGTGGTTTAATATCGAGGGCTGTAATGCCGCCTCAGAGGGAAGGTTTTTAGCTTGACAGATTTAAGGGGGAAATTACATAAGTGAATTCGCTGAACGCAGAACAGCAGCGTAAGAGGTAATAACTCCTCGCCGCATTGGGAATTGTAAGTGCTGACATGTGTAAGTGACACGGAGTACTAAGGAGGCGACGCGGCGCCTGTACATTACCTATGCGGGCACCGAAAAGCTCGCTTCTAGATACATATGGCTCATCTGATTCCTATATTGTGCTGGGG